CACCGGCTTGTGTGACCCCTGCTCGTCCTTTGGCAGAGTTATGCTCCGGAGAGTCAGGGACCCTGGCAGCACTTTAATTTAGATAATGTGGGATAGGACAGGCATCGATTTGAGAAACGCTGCAGACCCGTTAACGCGATTTCTTCTTTGCTGATGAAAAATCTTTCACAGATATAATCTGTCGTCTGAATGAAGACTAGACGTTTCCTGTCACCTGCTCTCGGCTGGTGCCATCGAGTTATGACTTCACGCTGAGCGGACGCACGCACATTATCCGAGAGGCTGACTTTATTGTGTTCATGTGACATCCTGAGGCGAGGGGTGGGGGGGTGTGGAGGCGGACAGTTGAGCGGCTCGTGGGGATGGTGAAGGTCAGCAGACGGTCAGTGGCTCAGGGCCCAGACACCAGCAGAGTGAGAGTCGGGGATCTCGTCTTGTCTGGTTTAAACTGTTGACTCATTAGATCGTGGTTTGCAGTGTGACGCGGCTTTGTGAAAGTTAACAGGGTTGGAAAGTAAAAATGTTTTTATGATTCTCAGTATTTTTCTGTAACGAGTTTGATTGAAATGCAGCTTATCCCTCAACTGTCCTCGTCATGTTACTCATCCAAGGTTCAGTCATTTTCTTTAGGACCAAACAAACCAATGACGTCAGCTGCAGATTTACTTGAAGCCACATGACTAATATTTTCACGCTAGTGTGTTAAACTCATAGACTGTATATATAAGCATCTCCACTTCCTCCTACTCCCCGGAAATGAATCTAAAATAACCTGGATGTGAAATCAATTTCAGATTATCAGTTGTAGCTGTAGCTACCTCATCCAAACTGTCATCTCCATGGTTACAGAAATGTATTTGAATGTCCAAGGAGATTTTTACAGACGTAAATTTGCAGCCTTACAGACAGATTTAATAAAACACCAATATACAGTAAACATGTTTCTGTCACTGCGGTATATACACCCTGTTGGTACTGAAGAGGCCGTTTCTTTTTCCTCTCCAACATCCTCACGGCAGAGTTTGAGATGATTTTCCTCTTTTGCATTTTTCCACAACACTCGAGTCCAACTCTTTGATCCTGCTCCTCTTTGATGCCAGTGAAATCTCTTAGCGACGCAGCAGCACAACGTGGACGAGAAAGAGGCCTGCGCTCATTTACATACATTACACTCGCCCAGCCACTCACACAGCGTTACAGGCGTTTTTACTTGGGTGTAGCCTTGTTTCTGTACCAGATCTGGTGATTAAATATTCATACTGTGCGGCGTATCCGCTCATCGTTAAGGTATGAGATGTAGGAAGAGGCGAGACGCTGACATGTAGGAGACAAAGCTCTTTGTTACTGTACAGCTTGGACCCACACACAGTCTCAGACAAAGACGTGCTTTCATTTAAGAAGCCTCGGCAACAAGAGTCACACAGAAAGAGCTGCCATGCTGTACTTTGTTCCTCTCTTGTAATCCCCCCCGTCTGTTCTCCCTCTGGCTCATCGGACCCTGATTTTCAGATAATGCTCCGGCCTTGGGCCAAATGTAAAAGCAACCTCACCCTGAATCTCTGCGTTAGAAATCAGACGGTTCAGCTATAGCTTCTGTGGTCATCGGGTTGTGGAGGTGAAGATTTGTGCTTTTTCGTCTGCGTGGATCGATACCACGAGCCAGTCGAGCTCTGCACAGAGAGCAGGGTGTGTCTATTTACACATAATAAACTGAAATCTTACACAATACAACCCAGAGACGCACAAACTGCATCCTCCTCATAAAGATGAACCACCTTCCCTTTAGAACAAAAAGTAAACATCAAAATATCATTAAAATTTGATTTATTTTCCATGAAACTGCTCAACATTAGATTTGTATTTCGGAAACTGAGTTTATCAGAAGTCTAAAATTAGTTTTCTGCAGAATTAAATCTCACAATGCCTCTTTAATTCAGTTTTAAGTTAATTGTAAATGCAAATGAGTAAAATGCACACATTGTCTATGCCCTCATACATATATACATGAGTACTGTGAGTATACATATAAACAATAAGGTTGCACATTGAAGAGCTTGCCAAACAAATACTGTATATTTTACTCTAATTAAAATTGTGTCCCTTGTTAACTGCTCACGAGCTCCAGAAAGATCCGCAATGAGCAACATTAGACCAGAAACACTAAATTCACTATGATACAGCAGGAACATTTCTGAAATCTGTTCCACTTAAAACAGAAACTGATTAAGTAGAAAAGTAGTCATTTAGTCATTTATATATATATATATTATATTATTATGAGTGCATATAATAGAGTGTAAGTGAAGAGACTGATGGGTCTTGAATGGAATAGCTGTCCTTTACTTAGGTCGTGTATAAGGATCAATCTAATTAACACTCAACACTGAGCCAGCATCATATTCACACCCACACCTTTAACTTAATATTCAGTTTATCCCTGGTGCTGTATTGTCATCAAATGACCTCTGAGTGGTATTTCTCTCCCACACGCTGAACATGAGGGAACTCTCAGACCACAACCGCCATGGTGTGAGTGAGGAGCGCACAGGAATAAACTGTGTGGTGATGTAATGAGAGGCTGGTGTCAGATCCAGTTTAACCCGGCTCAGATGCAGACTTGACAAACATCAGGACAGAAGTTGGTGTTGTTATGACATGAACACATGATTCATAAATCCCTCTCCACACCCTAAAACCCACCTCCCCTCCAAAAGCCAATCAGGGAGCAGCATCCAGGGCGCTGTTTACGAGTCTCACGCTACCATGACCGAGCAGCAGACCTCTTGGGAGACGCGGGGACAGGGGACGAAGTGTTTCTCAGCATCGAGAGAAAATAAACAGCAGCCGAGTCCCGACGCCAGTGGGAAACTGACATGAGTCTGTCCTGACATCTATCCAAGCAACGGAATTCCTTGTGCTGTTGAACCGTGGTTCTGTAATACCAGTAATCAGATTATCTTCTTTGGTGGAGTAGAGAGATTATATGTCATGTTGTTCCTGCTGCCCACCTCATCTGTAAAGAAAACCCTGCAGGGAGCGTCAGTGTGGGCCGAGCCAGAAACACACCAGAAAACATTTGGTGGAGCATTTCTTTCCCTTGCTCACTTCATGAAGACATCTGTGGTGTCTGAAAAGACTGATTGTAAAATTCTATCAGCTCTTTGTGGGCGCTTGGAATTTTCTCCCCGTTTGGTTCAATAAACAACCGTCCTCGTGTTGCTCCTGTCTGATGCTGAAAGACGTTTTTTTTGACCCGCAGAGTTAAAGATGACGACGTCACAAGTGGAGCTCTGTGGAAAATCTCAATGGTTAGCATTTAGCAGTAATAAGCATCATTGAGACGGAGGGAGAAGCCCAAATAATAGTTGTTCAGATGCCCCCCCCCCCCCGTCATTTCAAGTGAGTTTGTGTTTAATTAGTTACTGCACAGTCTCCAAAAGACGTCGAAAGAACAAGACGGCAGCTTTCGTATCAGGGCCAGTTTAACTTAATTTTTATGTATGATGGGAGGAGGTGGAGACATGTCGTCCATCTTTAGAGTCTACAACTTCAACTTGCTCCTGTGCACAAGGCCAAGTTACAAGCTAAAATTAATAATAAGTCCTGGTGTTTTAATATGGACCCTTGTCTCATTTTTTATTTGTGCTTTATTGTTTATTTTATTTATCACATTTTGATTCCCTTTTAATCTCTCTATAATTGATCCTTTTTTTAAAACTCAATATCTTCAGAACAGCACTTCCAGTAAAGGTAGAAACACTGTGATACTTGCATGGGACGACTGTTCTCATTTTATCAAGTGCACTCGTCCCTAACAAATAAACCATGAATAAATTAATAATTGTAGGTCTATCCACAAAACAATTTTTCTATTAATTTGGCAAGATGCAATTATTGGATCTTAGATTTGTTAAATGCTTATTAGCAAAAAACGTTGGACCCACTTCAGTCTCTTTAAACTGACTAAACCACCACTTCCAAGTTCAGGTCGACTCAGCTGAAGCAGCAATATCCTGTGAAGAGCAGTCCTGAGCGCTTTGTTGCATAAGACGCTGCCTCATGCAGTGATGGAGCCCCGGGCGGTCTGCGTCTGCCAGATTATAGACCCGGCCACTGCCTCTTCTCTGCTTCGGGTTTTTTTTTTTATTGAAGCTTGTGTGCCGCCACCTCCTCCATCTTGTCTCATCTCTCTAAATCCCTCATCCACTATCCCCCTCTCTCTCCTTCTCCCGCTAATCCATCTCTTCCCTCCTGACACAAGCTGCTGCTCACCCCCCCTCCCGCCCCCCATCGCTGTTCATTCTCATCTCATCCTGTACATGGCTGGCAGCACTGAACACATAACCCCAAGTGGAGTGAATTATCGTCCACACTGATTAGATCAAACTGAATTCGATGTGGTTTAAATACTCTACCTTACAGACCGCCCTACACCGAGAGGCCCAGATACAAGTTTTCACTAACGGAGTTACCATCATCAGATCTGCGTGAATAGATTACATGGAGCTTTTATCAGATATTATCGTCACAGCGGGGAGGGAGAGGATTTCTAATCATTTCAAACCTGCTTTTTTATTTTAGCGAGTGCCCGCTAATGCCCTGCTGCTTTACAGCAACATCTACTACGTGTTGTTATGGGTCACCAGCATGCTCTCGTGCTTTTGTCTCCATTGTCATTGGTTGGTCACTGGCCTATGATTGAACTGCGATGGCAGTGCTGGAGCCATGTCTCTCTCTGACTCTGTCTTTGTTCCAGTTCTGCATGTTTTTTTCTGTTACTTTAATTTTCTATAACAAAAAAGGCTTCAATGACTGTGTACGTAAAAAGCGTCAGTCGAAGTTGAAAAGCTAATATTGCTTCATGACTGCAGATTGTGTAAACAGGTGACTCAGGTTTATCTTTATCTAAGTGTAACTTTTGGATTTGCAATTTGAGATTTTGCAGCTGCTGTGTTTGCATTTCGCTAAATCCGATATCTGCTACTTTCTGCCCCCTGCAGGTCAGCCAAGGTAATGTCCCCGGGGTGGAGAGTGCGTCTCTGGCCATGGACACAGAGGAAGGTGTGGAGGTGGTGTGGAACGAGGTGCTCTTCTCCGACAAGAAGGTCTTCAAAGCACAGGAGGTATGATGGCTCTTTTTACCTGAAGCCACCACAATGAATTTACTTTAATTTGATTTGTTGCCTTTATTAACATTATTGTTTTACATTATGTGTATGACATGTGTTTTCCAGTACGATAAAGGTCGGTTTGTCTGTATAGGTTAATTAATTCCAGTCATCCTTTGTCTGGAGGCTCCACCTGTATCCATTTCCATGAGTTGGCTTTAGCAGCGGATGTAATTTTAAAGAGATATTCGGTAATCAGTCCCTTGTCAATATCAACAGTAATAAAAAAGAGGAAATTAAAGGACAAAAGTATGAAACTACTTTGAGACATATTTATCACATTGCCTCCAGCTTTTGTTTATTCTCGTTGCATCATTAAAATATCAAGGTTGAATGAAGACGTATGAATAACTGAGAAGTTTGTTTTCCAGGAGAAGATCAAGGAGATGTTTGAGAACCTGATGCAGGTCGAACACCCAAACATCGTCAAGTTCCACAAGTACTGGCTGGACATGAAGGAGAGCCAGGCTCGGGTAAGAGGTCTTCACACACACACACACACACACACACACACACACACACACACACACACACACACTACACACTGATCCGTGTTCTCCTCCTCCACAGGTTATATTCATCACAGAATACATGTCGTCAGGCAGCCTTAAGCAGTTCCTGAAGAAAACTAAGAAGAACCACAAGACTATGAATGTGAAGGTCAGTGTTTTGACTCTGGTCACATACTGTATCGTCTGTCTGACGCGCGGCGCTGCTGTCCAATCACTGTCCATATTTCCTGCAGGATTAGAGGTTATGTAACCTGACGTGGCCTGATATATATTGCATTTTGCAATGTTGTGGGTTTGAAAACCAAAACCAGTTTTATTATTTATCCAGCAAGTCGTTTTTTTTTCTCTTTGGTCAGTGCACATTTGGTGTTTTAATAATTCAAAGCCTGGAATGATTGTTAAAAGTTCTATACATTGGCTGGAGTATAGCCTTATTTCCAATAATTGCTAAGAACAAAGGATCAATACCGTACTCTAATGTGTTCGAGTAAATTATATAAATATTTTAGAAGGTTCCTGTTGCTTTATTTTAGGCCTGGAAGAGATGGTGCACCCAGATTCTCTCAGCTCTCAGGTACAGATTGATTTTATTCTCCAGGATTCTAACATGAAACACATCTGTTATCGCAGCCTGAACATTAATCTGATGTTTTTTTTATTTCCTGTCAGTTATCTCCACTCCTGTGATCCACCAATAATCCATGGCAACCTGACGTGCGACACCATCTTCATCCAGCACAACGGCCTCATCAAGATCGGCTCAGGTCTGCTCCCAGCAGGGCTTTTTATGTTACTGCAGCGAGCAGCCTCCTCTGCTGTTATCTCAGACTGTGGCTCTCTGGATTCATTAATCTCTGCAGTTTTACAAAACACACTAAATATCTAAATTATGCCTAATTTTCTTTCCACAGTGTGGCATCGGCTATTTGTTAATGGTAAGAAATAGATCATTCTGTTGTGGATACGTGTGTTTTCATTGGTGTCATATGTCACTTAACCTTATCTGTGTTTTCTCTGACCAGTGTTCCCAGATGCCAGTGTTCACGGTAAAGGGAGGCAACATCGTGACGAGCAGAGGAATCTGCATTTTTTCGCTCCAGAATACGGAGGCAAGTGTAACGGAGTCAGTCTGTGTTTAGGTTTCAGCCGTAAAAGATCACACACATGCCCAACAGTTTGCTTAAATTCAACCAAGCTGCCCCAAATTACCTTTTCACTTCGGCGGAAACCTTTTCCTTCTCGTTTTTCTATGATTCTCATCTTCTTTTGTCTCCAATTCCAGCCGGCGAAGATGATTACGCCATAGACATTTTCTCCTTTGGCATCTGCGCTCTAGAGGTGAGAGAAACACATGGATGCTGTAAGATTCACTCCTGTGTGTCTGTTTATAAGCAAGTGTGTGTTAACACAGATTTCTTGCACCTCTAGATGGCAGTACTGGAGATCCAGGCTAACGGAGATACAGCTGTGTCCAAGGAGGCCATCGTCAATGCAGGTCAATCTCTGGAAGACCCTCTCATGAGAGTGAGTGTCCAAAATACCTCTTGTCCTAAATAGACACCAGTGCAACCAAGGAAACATGGAGATTAAAAACAAACTGTCCCACACGGCTCAGTTAACACTCGCCCACACACACCACCTTGCTTCTTGGTTTATTTCAAACCTCATGCAGGAAAACTGTGTCAGGTTCCGGTGAAACATGGCGTCAGTGACGCTCAATAAACTGTCTCACAGTGCTGTCATGTAATGTGTTGGACTGGGCGTGTTGTTGCAGGAGTTCACACAGTCTTGTTTGCGTCACGAAGCCAAGCTCCGTCCTACAGCTCACGACCTTCTGTTCCACCGAGTTCTGTTCGAGGTCCACTCCCTCAAACTGCTCGCCGCCCACTGCCTCATCAATAACCAGTGTGAGTTTCTCACCTCCACAGGACGAGTTCGCTGAACGAAAATCCCTTTGTTCCCTCTTTTCAGGCAAACAGCACATTTTAGACCTAATATTGACACTTTACATTAAAAATTACATTATGTTTGTATATTTACCTTGAAATATTTTTTTATAAAGTCATAGGACCATGAAATCACATTGATGTTTTTATTCACCTCTATTTACAGTTAAAGGTCTCAAATTGAGTTTAAAATGATATTTGAGAAGAAAAATGTATTTCCACATTGCGGACAAACTTTATCAGTTGTGTAAGTGTCAGTATAATTCATTAAATTAGTATAAATCACTGTAATTAGTCTCAAATCTGTGTTTCATCCACAGACCTGCTCCCTGAGAACTGTGTGGAGGAGAAAACCAAGTCCTTTGACCCCAGTGCTGTCATGGCAGAGATTAAACATGAGGACAGACAGGGAGTTCAGCTCAAGTAAAATCAAATTATCTCATATCTTTGGCTTCCTGTAATTGTCTCACGGCAAATCATGACAAAACCCTCACTCTGCTCCTTTCTGTGTTCTTTCTTATTTAACAGATACTCCCACGTGTCTCCTTTGGAGCTTGATAAGTTTCTGGAGGATGTGAAGTGAGTGAAACCACAGCATGTGACTTGATTTGGACTTTCACCCGACAAGTGCAGAAGGTTTTTAACACTTCTTCCTCTCCTCTCTTCAGGAATGGGATTTACCCGCTAATGAACTTTGCATCGTCCCGGCCTCATCCCGTCCCTCGTGCCCTGTCCTTGTCTCAGGAGCAGGTCGAGACAGTCAAGACGCCGACTCCTGAACCCCAGGAGACAGAAACTAGAAAGGTCAACAACACAACTGTGATAGATACGCAGTCACACAGATACACAGCAAGCATGTCTTCTAAAGTTCAGTTCTTCTTCCTGCAACTTTTACTTTTCCGCATGGAAAAACCCTCTCATTGCCAATTTAGCTAAACTAACAGGACCTGCATGCTACGCCTGTTTACTATCAACCAAAACATACGTAAGACTTTTTTGCTGTGTCTCCATTTTACTGTTGATTTTACTCTGTGACCTTTTTTGCTCTGTTGATGTTGTAGGTTGTTCAGATGCACTGTAATTTGGAGTCAAATGAAGAAGGGACCAAAACTCATGTGAGTCACGTAGTGTTACAGGTACTCTGCCCATTTGCCAACACTTTCTTTGGGCTTTTTAATGATTAATAAGCTAATTGATAGTTTTCTTTTTATTATTGTTCCAGCAGCTTTGTGTGGTGCAACACTTATTTTAATTAAAATAAGCACTAATCCAGTCTGATTTAATTTGACCTTGTGATGTTTCCTCAGCTCTCGTTGTTTCTGAAGATGGATGATAAACTTCACAGGCAGCTCAGCTGTGACATCCTTCCAAGTGAGTTGATTTTCAACCAACACAATGTCAGTCTGTCTCTAAGTACCTGACATTTTTGAGCTAAATGGGCTAAAAAAAGTGTATTTCTTGACTAATATTTTTAACAGCAGATTATGTGGTTAGATGTAGGTTCTGGTCTTAACATGGGAATTGCTGATAATACAGAGAATATCGAGTCTTTTAGAATGGCACCCTAGTAAAGTGCATTCCTCCACCAACAGCCCCCTAATGAAACCACATTTTAATTCACGAGATCCAGATTTTTATTTCACACATTCATGTCAGTATACGTCCCCTAAAAATTATTATTGTTCTCTGTGAAATCAAAAAGAAATGTTGAAAAAAGCCCCATCTCGCCATCTTAGATTATCCACCCACTGATTCAGATGCACACCAACATTTAATGGGTTCTTACTTGACACATATTGCATCCTTTCACTCAGCTTCATGGTACAAACAAAAACTCTAGACATAACCCCTTTGGCAGAATTACACATCACCAGCTCTATCCCTTAAATGTCCATGTTTTGTGAACTCTGTAGGCTCATTTGTGTTGCAGATTATTGTAACTGAAGTATTTTATGTGAAACTTTCAGCTGACACCTCCAAAGACCTTGCCAGTGAACTTGTTCACTATGCCTTCATTAATGAGGTTAATATAAAAGCTTATTTACTTCTTATCCTTATCAACAACATTGGAAAATTCTTGAATTTATATTGGTATTTCATATCTAGTCTTGAAAATGTACTGAACTGTCTTTTTTGTTGTGCGTAGGAGGACAGTGAGAAGGTGGCAGGGTTCCTGGAGGACGCCATCAGCCGACACCGGGTCCGAGCGCTCGCCTCTGGGAGCACACAGTGAGGAGAGGGTCACAAAGATGTCTGACCTGGACTTAAGGGGCCCGCGGTGTTGACCATAAGGATAAAGAAAGGGAGAGGGCAGGATCACATAGCCGGGAACAGAGGGGAGCCGACCCAGCTGGGGATAAAATGGGGACAAATGCAGAAGGACGCTGGGCCTTGACAGTCAGTAAACCATCCCAGAGAGAAAGAGGAGACACGAGCACTGACAGAGGAACTGAAGGCACCTCTGGTTGGACGACTAGAGGCATCATGGCTGTGTTCAGCAATCCCACAATGCAGTGGAAGATCGACAAACTCCCTGCCTAAAAGGGCTATCACGCCTTAATATATTTTACAACTTAGGTTTTTCCGTAACGCCACTAATCAGAATGGATATGATTTACTTTCAAATCAGCAGCTGTGTTTGCAGAAACGTTTTATCGCTCATAAGCCTCATCTGCACTTGGTGACGACTTACTAAAGCCTCTCTCTCCCTCCTCAGCCAGAACATTCATTTTATTACTGTTTTTGGAATTTTATATTCCATAAAAACTGTACTGTTCATACTTATTTATTTCTGTTTAACTGTGAACTAAGCATCTAATATGTTTTTTTTAATATAATCTGCAAAATTAACACACCTTACTGAACTCTTGGGTTAAAGGCTCTTTCTCCCGGAGGTAAACACGCCATGCCTACATGTAATGATGAGATGATGCCTCTCTTTTAGCCTGTAGTGCTCTTAAGGGGTTTCCCTGTAAAAGAGTTCTGAAAGCCAAAGACTTGCAAAGTGCCTGATATGGCAATGTACTTTGGACAAAGATTTCCGAATGAAACAATCACATCCAACTTGAAAATTTTGAATTCAACTTACTCAGGCTGACCATTTTAAAACTAGAAATATTTGGGCGAGTTCCTGTCTCTTATTCACATTGTCACAATAGGAGCATGAACACAACACCCGATAATGGAAGCTCCACTAAGAGCTGCAGCCGCTGTATATTGGACATATGAATTAGAAGATAATTCTCTCCGCTTCAGTCAATATTGGTTTTGGAAGAGCTGCTGCTTATATAAAAAAACAACAACTGGAATACATCACAAGAAGCCTGAGATTTAGAGGCATAGTCCTACGTGAATGGGAGAAAAGCTTTTGGTGATGCGACCTTGAGACTTATCAATACAAATGCTATATTGTTAATAAATGTTACTGCTATAGTTACTTTGCTGTATCCCCCAAACCATCTGAAAATACTTTCTAACAATGAATTTGATTTGTAAACATGTCTCGAGGAGTGTGAAAGGAAAAATCCACCCAAACGTTCAGAAAACTTATGGTGCAAGTAGAGAATATCAAAAGGAGAAGTGTCTCAGCTCATTGTTTTAAAAGACTACACATACTCATTAAACTGTTTATTGACCCCTCGTGACTCAGCTCATCATATCACTGTTTTCCACATCTATGGTTTTTGCACAGCTGAACTCTCAAATGTGCATTAATGTTTGTAATGAAGGATTTTTGCACAGCAACCAGGATACGATAACATCCCTCTCTAAGTAACAGTCTGTCTTGTGTTGTGTTCCTCACAGCTCACTCATCACGTGTGTGTGATTTCTGAACCTATTTACTATTTTCTCTGAAGTTACTGTTGCTATTGAAACACTCAGCTGAACTCCGGCCATCCGTGCCTCAACAATGAAACCTCTTTCAACATCACTTGGAACTTTTCCTTCTCCCATCTTGATACAAAATCAAAATTAACCAGATTTAGCATTTTCATACATGCCACAGAATACGACTCGTGTTAACTGCTTCTTTGCATCATGCAGTGCATCTGCATTGTTTATCTTTCTCCAATCATTATTTCATTTTTTTCCTTTAATAGTTAATCAATTTATATTTATATCTGAATGTCTAAGTACTTTTATTATACACAAGCATTTAGCATTTCAATTGGATTCTGAAACGTAGTTTCTGACAAAATGTTCTGTATGAGGCTCATTTCCAAGAACAAAATCTACTGTGCTTCTCTTTCAGACAATGTCAGAGTGAACCTTGGAATTGATTGCACTGCAGCCCACACAAACACAAAAATAGAGAACATCTTCGGCTCTGTGAGATTTGCTCGTATAAAAGCTCAACATTTGCACCATAAAACAACTTTTGGATGGATTTTTCCTTCACAAAAAACAACAGTGAATTGTTTCATGAGTTTTCAGGAGAATACTCTCATTTGTCAGACTCACTTAGTTCTGCTTCATTTGTTTCCCGCGTGTGTAAAGTGGCAGTTTCATAACAGTTGCGCTGCTGTACAGTCATTGCTTACAGTGCTTACTTACTATACTCTGTGTCGAGCCTTTTTATCAGCGTGTCCTTGAAGACAGGGGCCCTGAATTCTCCCAGACATTCACTTTCTAGATGCCGTGGTGTACATATTTGTTTGTGGCTATTAAAGCGGGGTTTACTCTGGACAGAATTTCAAAGCACAGCAGTGCCATTGTTCTCATTTGATCTTGTAAGCTGCATGTCTTAATAGCCTGCGACCATTCAAAACTTAGCATTTTGCCTTTTTCTCAGTCACAGTTTGGTTCCAGTGGGGACCTGACCAAGGAAATGAATGTTTAGACTGTGCAAACATGACAAAAAAAAAATCCATATCAGTCTTACATTATGTCAGATTACTTTTGTTTCCTGTGACTCTGTTGAATGAAACTTGCCTTTGGATGTGTTCCACTTAAACCTTTGTTAAATATCGTTGGTACTGCAATCAATAACATGACAATAAACTATATGTAAAATGTTGGTTTTGTCTAAAATTAGTACAATATTTTATTCATAATTGTATCATCAAGTACTGTGTTATGCTGAAACATATACTAGTATATATACACCTTATATATGTATTGTCAAACTGTCCATCAGGTCATAATGTCAGTGGTATGATCAAATTCATCCAGTGAACGGAACAGTAGATGTTAAGGTTGTTTTTTAGTGAGTGCACAAGCACATTAATACATTTAGTAGAATTTTTTAAAATTATTAAAAAACATAATGACTCTACCCATGAATAAGCAGATTAAAATTGTAAAACAAATACAGATTATATAGATATTTACAAGGCTCATGAAAATATCCGGTAGAAACAACAGCCTTATTTTAGTTTGATGGTAAGAAATTTTAAGGTAGAAAAGGTACACAATGAATAATGGGCGAGCTTGTTTATCAGCTATCTAAACACAGTAGTCTGGAGGTACCATGACAAAATAACAATATTTAGGTATCATGATACAGGTGAAAAAAATGTCCATGAGTGAAACTGAATCAGGTCACACAACCTAAATGAAATAAAGGCTTTTATTTTGAAAGGGTCCAGGACGAACTCCCTGCACAAACACATCATCGCGAGGATTCGCTGCGGTATCGCGATATCCTGCGTTGAAAGCGTGATCTCGCGAGACTTGCAGCCCGCGGGCCTCTAGAAGAAGGTGTGCTTCATGGCGGTGACGGAGTCTGCGGTAAATAAATTCTTCGATAAAGAGACAATTTAGCCGATTTTCGTCCCCTGGCGGATGAGGCGTGAGTAGTACACGATGTCTGGCGGAGGCGAACCGGGATAAATACGCAGTAAATAGAGAGGAAATATTAGCGGGAGGGGGAACCAGCTACTTCACGCGCCATTGTAATGAATGCCTGACATTAGCTAGTATGAGCTAGCTAGCTAGCTAACAATAATGAAAGCGCAATGTGAAGCTAATCAGAAAGCAGGCCTTGCTAATGTCGTGCTCTTGTTATAATAATGCTGTTTGCTTTATTGTGGTGTAACAAAGCCAAACCGTAGTTAATGTCCAATATTAGCTCAACACCGTTCCGGCTAATGTTAGCCGTAGCCCGTTGTTGGTACTTTTCCTAGCTAGCATTTGTTAGGGTTAGCTCATCGTTAGCATCCATGCGTCTCAAGCTAACGTTAGCTCAATGGAGTCCCAGGGAAAACAGGCTAGCTGTTTGTATATTGCTCTGTAAAGAAAATAATGCAAGCTGCCTGATTCTTATTTGTTAGTCTGAAGGCATTTTTTATTTCCCCTAGAAGTTGTTGAATTGTTAAAGCTTCCCCATCAGTCATCTTCCCCTTGGGGGCTTTCCTGCCTCAGTCTGGTGGACCCAGCCATTAGCGGGTTGCGTAGGTAAGGAGTTCGTCCGGTCCGACCTGGTCTAAATCCGGGTGTGTGTCCTGTATATGCCATCATATTCAATTATTATCTGTGCTGTGTGAAGTTATGTGACTTATGATTGCAATACAGGATGAGTCTTTAATTGGGTGAATGTTGCTGTGGATGTACATGCAGCCAGATGTTGGTGCTGCAGACCAAGTTTCTCAGTTTTTGTGTGAATTGCTGTTTCTGAATTTCAGGGAGGTGAAGCTCTGACGATGGAGAATGGACAGGGCACAGGCTCCAAGCTTGGCCTGCCGCCTCTCACTCCAGAGCAGCAGGAGGCACTTCAGAGGGTAGGAAACCATTGACATACAGTTCTATATATTCACCTGATCCATGTTGATTCTACTTACAGTACAAAGTTACTACCATATATGTATACATGGCCTCCAGCATCTGTCAAAGTTCCGTTTGAGGAATTCAAATTAATGTCTTTCTTCTTTTCAGGCAAAGAAGTATGCCATGGAACAAAGCATTAAGAGTGTGTTGGTGAAGCAGACCATTGCCCATCAGCAACAACAGCTCACCAACCTGCAGGTGAGATATGTAGAAAGTTTTTGGATCGCTGCTAAAAAGGATTGTATTGGGTGTGTCGCCTGGAAGTCTTGATTCTAGACAGTATCTTAGGCCTTTTAAACATAAGTAATTCAGACATCACTTGTCTCATAAGTCTGTTTTGAGTTAGCTGCATTAGAAGTCTTATTCGCCTGTGCTCTGAAACCCAAATCAAATGTGTAGACCATGTACCCTTGCTTTTGCTTCTGCTCTTTTTCAGATGGTGAAGATCGTCATGAATTGTTAATTGCTTTGCATTTTTAAAGGGGACCTGTTTATATTTATTGCTTGTGGTGATTAATAATTCAGATAGGAGATGCACCTCTCCAAACTGTATGTTATTTAGAGGGAGGGTGTGAATATAATTTTAGCCTAACCTCTTTTGCTAATCTAGCAAAGCAATGACCTTTTTGAAAAAGCAAAGCTAAGGGATATCTAACCTACTTTTCAGCACTTTTTTCATCTTTACTGTCTTTCAGATGGCAGCAGTGACAATGGGCTTTGGAGATCCTCTCTCACCTTTACAATCGGTCAATAGATATTAAATTTTTTTTCTGTGCGCATTCCCAATGGAAAAGGACTGTTACCCTTCTTTTACTCGTTGCTTCTGCAACAATCCCTGCCTTTTTATCTAACCCAAGAATGCATATTTTGTTAGAAACAAGGCTTTCTTACTGCTAGTGTAACCAAGACTATGCCTGTAATTCAGTGCGAGATGAATGACTGTTAATCAATGAGGCACTTGGGTCCTCTCCACGTAGACCGCCTTTTTTTTTTTTTTTTTTTACAGTAGCCCAGACTGGACAAACTAAACACTTTTGAAGTTTTTATGACAACTGAAGACTATCAGAGGTTCTCTTTAATTTTTGGGAGGGTGAGGGGTATTCAGCTGCAATATGCAACTTCGCCACTAGATATCATTAAAGTTTACACGCTGAACCTTTAAAGGGATTTTAGAGGACTTTATAAAGGGATTATAAATTTGAGAAAAGTCAAGTCTCTGAAAAATATGCATTGGCTCCATTTACAAACACAAAGCTCTTGGCATGGGACGAAAGAGGGATAGCAATCCCTTTAATGGACCAAAATGAGAGAACTGCTGGAACAGGGATCTTTTTGGCCATCTCAAAGTCAAGTTTTTTTCTGTTATTGAACAAGTTAACTTTTCACTACGTCCTGAATAAGGCCCATGTTATATTTTGTTGGTGATGGAAAGAAATGAACAGAAGCAGACAATAAAACACAGCAACTTCTGGTGGTTAAACCATCGCTCCCCCTTAGACTTGAGAAGAAAGTGTCAAATGCTTTCATCAAGACTTTGTATGGATTTCGTTTGAACTCCACCATTACTTTTGTTACCTTACTTGCATCCCTGGACTACAGGTTAGTTACTGAAGCCAAATATTTGTGAGGGCTGTGCATGTCAATCACTTCAGTGTGTTTTCCTCCATATGTCTGTTCAGTAGTAACAGAGTAGAGGCCATATTGTAATTACAAGTGGTGACATCAGTATTTGATAACTGTTATATATGTTAGATTTTTCCCCACACAGTTCTTTCCATTGATTACGATAGTATCCGATTCTTACCCTATTTACCTGTCCAGACCCCCTAACTTGGATTTGGCCCCTAACTAAGTTTGGGGAAAGCAAGCACAGTAGAAAATACACATTTATTTTTAGCGGTTGTGTTTGTTAGTCTTCTTTCTTTTACTCTCTAATGCTTATCGTGTGGTGTTTTTCCTGGTTGGCAGGTGGCTGCTCAGAGGCAACGTGCTCTAGCCATCATGTGTCGAGTGTATGTTGGCTCCATATATTATGAGCTTGGTGAAGACACCATCAGACAGGCCTTTGCCCCTTTCGGCCCAATCAAGAGCATTGACATGTCTTGGGATTCTGTAACAATGAAACACAAGGTCAGTATAATACAAAATCTTCTGCCTCACTGAGATTTTAATGCAAAAAATCATTAATAGACATGTCTCAGTTTTTTTACATGTTCTGATTCTGTTGTTTTGCATGACTGTACAGGGCTTTGCCTTTGTGGAGTATGATGTGCCAGAAGCTGCTCAGCTGGCTCTGGAGCAGATGAACTCAGTCATGTTAGGGGGGAGAAACATTAAGGTAAGTTGTCCGGAGGTATCTGGGTCTCTCAAATTCTTAGGAAACCACAAGTAATATATCAAGTTCTATAACTGCCTTTTTTGGTGTAGTTTGATTGGACAGGAGTTTTGGATTCCCTCCTGCCATTTGGGATACTGAGTCAATTTGTAAATTATCTACATTTGTGATTCTTAAAAGACTTTTATGTTACTAATTTTTCTCTTTTTGCTTGTCTGTGTCTGTTGATTTCCAGGTGCGTGTGTATGTCTGGGTGTATGCTTAGTGTACTGTCTGCTCGTGTTGTGTGTTTCCATGATGTCATCAAGGCTGTTTTAGTGACCAGTTGCAGTACGATGCCCAGCGGCGCATGGCATCGCTCCGTGTCCATGGTGTGCTGATGATGGGCTGCGCCTGGTTGGTGTTGCTTGGCCGCCCCATCTGTAGTACAGATCCCAGTCGCACTTATATGCTCGTGTTACATAGAGTTCTTTGGTTAAAGAGAGGTGTCAGAGTGCATAGCTGTAGTATAAGGCATTTATTATGTCCACCTTTCGGTGTTGCCATCAGCTCAGCGAGTCACGCTGTGTAAATCTGGTGTTTTGAAGCTGTACTTCTTTTTTTAACTGTTGCAGTTATAATTTGGAATCATGTTAAAAATTTGGTTTAAAATTAAGTAATATTTGTCACGATTGAGTGCCAACTGTTAATCTAGTTAACATAACATCACGACTTTAAGTGATAGTAAAGCGATTGGAATCATGTCAAATTTTGGTGCTCAACTGACAAACGTCTTAGTTTGAAAAAAGTAAACCTTAAAAAAAGTGCAAATCTAAACTATAGGTGAAGTGTTGTCCAATTATTTAATCACATTTTGTTTCAAAGCTTTATGAATTTATTAACTTTAAATAATAAATTTAGTTTGAATCCCTCCTTGTTTGGAAAAGATGGGTTATTAGGGAGTTTGGTACATGGTGACCTAGATGACAATGATCAAGCTAGACATAGATTTCAGATCAATATCAAAACCACTTATTCAGGCTTTAGTGTAGTAATGGACATGTACCACTGCAATACCAGAGGATAATTGACAGGTCAGGTTTGTGTCATGATTAAAGAGAGTGGCTTTGACTGAACTCGGTGGCTGCCGAAACTTAGCTCTGCAGGGATATACAGTTTGCGTTAGTGCGTTCTCGGTTGGTACTACAAACCCCATACTCAGTAGCCTTGCTGGTATGATCTGTGCTATAGGTTGGGCGGCCAAGTAACATCGGTCAGGCGCAACCCATCATTGACCAGCTGGCAGAGGAGGCGCGCGCCTTTAACCGGATCTACGTGGCATCTGTCCACCCTGACCTGTCAGATGATGACATCAAGAGTGTGTTTGAGGCCTTCGGGAGGATCAAGTCTTGCACGTTAGCCAGAGACCCCACAACAGGGCGACACCGAGGCTTTGGCTTCATTGGTGAGCTGGGGACCCTCATTCGCTCGTGCTCTTGCGTTGCTGTTGCTCTGCTACTAACTACTGTTTTTATTCCCTTACAGAGTATGAAAAGCCTCAGTCAGCCCTGGACGCTGTGTCTTCTATGAACCTCTTTGACCTGGGGGGTCAGTACCTACGGGTGGGCAAAGCAGTGACGCCGCCCATACCCCTACTGACCCCCACAACCCCTGGTGGTCTGCCACCTGCTGCAGCTGTGGCTGCAGCGGCAGCCACTGCTAAGATAACGGCCCAGGCAAGTATGAATCCCTTCCAAAGGGATTTAATGGCCTTCCAGGTAAATATAACCCAGATTTAGCTAGAATTGACACCTAAAAGCACAGATAACTTGGGCATAAAACTTAAATTGACGTGACTGGGAGAAGGCCAGTTTTGTAGAAAACAGTAGATGCCCTGACAGAGTGTCAATTTAACTGCCCTCAAATGTAAGACATTTGGGTTTAATCTTTATTTTAATCCAGTTTAATGTGAAACAAACCTGAATCTGTACACATATTTAAATATTCCATTTTTTTTGTATAGTGCTAATTAACATTAGTAATCAATGCTCCTCCCATTCACTGATCAGGTGTGTGAGCTAAGAGTCTTCTCTCTTAGCTAGCACCTTTACTGTTATTTTTCAGTGTAAAGAGTCGATGACTAACCAGACGATTGTGTTGTGATTAAAAGTTTTAGTCATTACTGCTGAACATATTTTCACTTGCTAAGAATAATCAATGAATGTTTACAAAATGTGAAATACTGTTGGTGACCTTGTTTCTCAGTAAGAGGCAAGGTTGAGTTCACTGTGTGCCATGCTGTGTGATCGTTGACTGTGCTGCCTTGTGCTGTGTTCTGTGTGTTTCCCTTACCTAATGTCTTCGGCCCCCCTCTCTCAAGGAGGCTGTAGCCGGGGCATCAGTCTTGGGGGCGTTAGCTGCGCCCCAACTTCTCGGTCAGCAAATGGGAATACCACAGGCTGTTATGGCTGCCCAGGCACCCGGGGTCATTACAGGTGGGTATAAAGATAAGTGAGGGAGCTTTTTATCAAAGCAGCAGCTTAATTCATCTTAACGAACAGATTTAAAAAAACATGCACTTTACTGGTTGTGCAAGTTTATTCCCACTTGCCTAATTTGTTTTACAATGGATAATGCTTCTATGTTTAGCATTTGATACCGGTCACAAACATCAATCATGTTGTATTCCCTCTCCCATTATCTTCATCATTCCATTTTAATTTTCTAGTGCGCCTGCATATCCAAGGATTTTGGTCTCTTTTGCTTCTTTTAGGTTCAAAGCTGCATCAGTCAAAACCCTCACTATGACTTTACCATTGTCATGTTTAACATTTATCGTTTATTCATTATTGTCATTACTTTCCAAGCTTATTTCTTTTGTTTTGTGTGTGAGTGTTTGTACAGTTGACCGCACGTCTGTCTTCTCTCGACAGGTGTGACACCGGTGCGTCCTCCCATACCAGTGCTTCCCCAGGTTGGTCTTGTGAACCCCGTGCTTGCGTCTCCACCAGTCCTGTCTAATCAAGCCGGTGGCTCCAGCCTACAGGAGAAGAAGGAGGAGAAAGAAGAGATGCTTCAAGATGGTACAGGACAGGAAATGTTGAGTGACCAAGAGCACATGAGCATCTCAGGCAGTAGTGCCAGACATATGGTGATGCAGAAACTTCTTAGAAAATCAGAGGTGAGATTCAGCAGTGGAACGGAGGGAAGAAAGAAAACCTTTTATTCTGTGAATGATCAAACTCATTTGTGCTTGCTTGTTCTCTCCAGTCTACAGTGATGGTGCTTCGAAATATGGTTGGACCAGAGGACATCGATGATGACCTGGAGGGTGAGGTGACGGAAGAGTGCGGCAAGTTTGGCTCCGTCAACAGAGTCATCATTTACCAGGAAAAGCAAGGAGAAGAGGAGGATGCAGATATCATTGTCAAAATCTTTGTAGAGTTTTCCATGGCCTCAGAGATGAACAAAGCCATCCAGGCCCTGAATGACCGCTGGTTCGGGGGTCGCAAAGTTGTGGCAGAGATTTACGACCAAGATCGATTTAACAGCAGTGACCTGTCTGCATAAAATGGTTCACCAGCACCCATCCCTATACCTGTTGCCCAAACTCATGTCAACCAATGTCATTGCAGCTAGAGATCTGGGCCTCTGAACCTTGTAATTATTTTTATTTTCTTTTTTAATATTGCTGTTGATATTAATGTTTAACGCCCCATCAAGGGGGATTCATTCAAAAATACTCCTATGTCAGGTTTTGCTTTGTGATCTGTGAAGGCTCCCTTTTTGGTGCAAGTTTCTTTTCTTTCTTTTTTTTGTAATCCAGTATTGTAAAACGTTATTATTTTCCTGCTTTAGTTACTTTTTATTTTCTTTCATGAATTTGCCAGGACTTGTAAACACTTTCTTACTATGATTAAAGTTTGTTTGTCCACGAAAAGTGTGTGAATGAATAATCACTTCGAAGATGTATTTGGAAACTTGTGTATTCTGGTTGTAGAACATAGCATAGGATAACTAAGGAAGTTACAAGTAGCCAAGTGAATAAGTGAAAAGCAACTTCTGCTTCAGTAGTGAACTGAGAAACTTGCCAAACAACTTACAGCAGAGTTTCTCATTTTTTTCCTGAACCAAGGACCCCTCCCCATTTGATATGGCTGATATTGTGAAAGAACCAGATAAATGACGCAGGCTACTATTCTCCAGTTTAACTTTTAAACAGTTATTTTGTTTAATGGTCAAGTTTGACAATGTAAAATAATTTTACCGTAGTAGGTTCGATAATATTATCGATGGTTCTGCAATTCGAAGCAAGCGCTCATTTGCTGTACATATTCACACTGCACATATTTTTCATGTCTTTACACTGTATATATGAGTTTCTATCCCGATCAAATGCTTTGTATTACTTACAAAAGTATTACCCTCACACATAGGTACTGCATGTTACTTATTATAACTTACTTATGCCTATTTTTGACTCTTAACTAGATATTCCTAATATCCCCATTATGGGACTAATAAAGAATTATCTTATCTTAAAGTTATGTCAGACTTGAACTAACCAAATAGTGAGTAGGGGGAGAATATATGAAGAAACTAAAATTGTCAAACGTGTCATCAAACACAGAGGCATCTGTTGATGTGATCATTCAGCTCTTCCTAGCGATGGACTTCCCTGTGCAGTCACCGCGTGAACGGAGGAAAACATTTAAGAATATAATAAAAGTTTTCAGGCATTGGAAGAAAACCTGGATCAGTTTTCATCAGTAGTCGAATTCTCAGGATTGCGTAATGACAACGACCCGCCGCTGGATGGCGCCACACAGCTGCGTGTGGCCTGTGCTACACGGGCGAAAAAGCGGCGGGGCTCCAGCTCGACTCTCGCCCAGCCCCCCACACGCCAAACCGGCCTGCCTCGGCTCAACAAGGTGGGGGGTGTCGGAGCGCGGCTGTTGCTGAAGCCCCTGTTCTCGCTCGCCTGGCAGTCTGTAGCCCCGTCGCCCTGGAAGAGAAGCCACCGGGCGGGTTTCCCTCGCGTGTTTTTTGGGATGTTCTCTCCGGCTAAAGAAGGAGCCCTTTTCCGTAGCTTTTCGCGATACGAGCGTTAGCCGGCGGAGGCTAAGCACAAAGGCGTTCAATCCAGCCACCGGCCGACGTTAGCTGACGGGAGCTAGCTCGCTAACAACACAGCCGGTGAGGACGTCCCCTGCGCAGCCGTACGCGGGCTAATCCCCGCCGAGTCGCGTTGGCTGTTTTGTGATATCGGTGCCGGCATTGAGCCGTCGCCACTCATGACTGGGACACTTGGAGCTGCGTGTGTGCATAGCGGGCTCGACTGCGTGTTTTTCCCAGCTAGCAAGCGACGGAGCTTCGGTCGGAGCGCAGGGATGGTGGCGGTAGCAGAAACGCGCTAACGCCGCTTCTTCGCCAGTGCGAACCAGTGAGTGGGAGAAGCGAGGAGACGCTCCAGCCTGCCGGGGGGGGGCTCTCCTCGGTTGTGTGCGAGGATTGTCATTCCGGAGGTGGATGCCGCTGACAACACTCGGGACACGGAGGAGCTGACGCTGGGGAGATCGCTAACCGACCGAGGGGATTCATTCTGCGTCTCTGAAAGTGGATTTCGGCCTCTTCCTCTTCAGGGTACGTGGGAACACCGTGAAGTGATTTGACATTGGGGTGAGCCCCAACAACTATTCTCTGTCCCCGCGACCTTCCCCCCCTCCGCTGCTGCACCCCCCCTCCGATGCGGAGATCTCAGTAGCACCGGCGACCACATCCCCCCCACACGGCGGCCCCGGACATGCTGAAGTGTATCCCCCTGTGGCGCTGCAACCGCCACGTCGAGTCGGTGGACAAGCGGCATTGCAACTTGGCGACGGTCCCCGATGAGGTGTTCCGCTACAGTCGCAGCCTAGAAGAGCTTCTGCTCGATGCCAACCAACTGAAAGAGCTACCAAAGGTACGCAGGGTCCACGCTGTCACACACTGATGGGATTCGAACCTTATTAACCACCACACACGTGCACAAAGTTTTATTCACATGTGTTCTGCAGAGACCAGGTGACATAAGCTGCAGAAAAGCCTGCAGGATGTGACCTGCTCAGGCACTTTGCATCACAGGTACCTCCTTCCTTGCTCCCTTGGAAAAATGGTGTAGTCACTCTGGGCTGCGGTGGAGTGTTTGTTTTGTGCAGAGCACATCGGGGTCTCAGAAGAGTTGAGCTTGAGTCGTGATGATTGGAAACGCAGTTAACGCTTTTCATATTTTTGCAGGAATGCACGCACAAGTATTTCCCAGAACATTTGAGGGATAAATAATCACGTGTGAGTGGGTGTTGATCAATTATGAGCCCAGAGGATGAGCCCAGAATAAAACAGCTGGCACACTCCATGTTGCCTGTAGTAAGGGCATCTGTGGCCAGTTGGACTGGATGCAGTGTAGGAAGGCATGCGTGGAATGAGCTTCAATGCAGTCCCCACCCACACTCCCACTATTTAGAATATGACAAAAGCTCTCTTTGCATGCTGAGAGAGTTTATTTCAAGGGAAATAGAATTGCTGTCCGTCTGTTTTCTTCGGAGCAGTGGAATTTAACTTTTGCTTGCTCAACTTTCTCCTTCGTGTCTTTAGCATCTTGCATTATCAAGACAAGGCAGTGGCTGTGATTGTGGTGGAGAAGGGGTTTTTATGAATAGCCAGCCGGTGGTAGTAGAGTGGTCAGTAGTAAACATTGTTGGTCTCTCACATTTCATGGCTTTAGGTCAGTGGTGAAAGGGACAAGTGGCACATTCACTAATTAAGATTGTGTCACCCAGAGAGGCGTGCTTTCGAACAATTAATTTCCTGTAAGTTGTTAAATTAATATATTTAAGATCAGTCCTCCTGGTGTTAGTTAGATAAAGACATCCTTTTGCATAACGACCCTCAGGACTCCAATTTGGCTGAAGGTTTTAGTACAGATGGACAGAGCAGCTCATAAAGACACACACACAGTAGTTGATCAATATTTAACCTGTCTTCAATCCCGTTCCTGGGTTAGGGATGTTTCTTGGCATTAAAACTGACGCCTACTTTGCCTGATGAGGCTTCTCTGCAGACAGTGCATGTTTCCACCTCTGAGTTCATACCTGTCAGACATCCACAGTGTAACTGGTCCCTTGAATACTAAATGACAGGATATGCACAAGTGCTTTGGTGCAGACAGCTAACTAAGCGGCACTGCCTCTTGTTGTGTCGCTGGATTCACCCAGGAGACATAAATGCATGGTGACAGAATGTCTCGTGTGGTCGCGGTGAATACATAGCGTGCAGACATAAAGCATACGGGCCCTCTCTGGTCCTTAGGAGTCAGCGGGGCTTCAGCGGGGGAGTAGTGTGAGAGGTCAGGCACATACACAGTTAGGAACAAAACCACTGACTGTATGATGATGGTATTACCATAATGAGCAGAGAAGCGGGTGAGGGTCTGAACGCCTTTTACAGTTGCGTGCTCCTTTCTTGTCAGTGTTAATTCATGTCAGAGACGAGTCTGTGGACTTACTTGTCAATTTTTGGCTGTTTTTAGACGTCAGCCTAACATCTCGGTTTATTTCTGCTCGTCAGTTCATTCCGTGAGCCTGACTTTGATGAAAGACAAATGTTTGCATGATTTTGGGCTAGCCCAGGGGACACAGTCTAATGCATGCACACCCGTCTAACAGGATTAGTTTGAGTCAGGTGAATTTGTGTGCACTAACATTTTGAAATCATTGAAATACGCAGTGACATAATCAATGGAACCATAAATTGTCAAGCTGGAAAGTGGTTATGACCAATAAGGTTTGATGTGTAGCTGTATTTAATGTGGCAGCGCTGTGGGTGTGTATGGTGTAGATTGCACTGGAGGGGGTTTAAGATAGAGAACAGATGGAGATTTAGACATCCTGACAGTTTCTTAAGTTTGTTGTGACTCACCCCCACCACCCTGCCCACCAATCTCCGATTATGCTCTTTGTGGTAATGATGTCTCCATTTGCCACATCAAGAGCGTTTGTGGAAAAAAAATTAAATGTATTCCTGTTGTTGTGGGACGATATGGTATCCAGGCAGTGATGTTCTTTTATTACATGGTTCTGAAGCATATCTGTTGTGACATATCTGTATGAAAGGACTGTATAGAAACTGTTGAGGAGGCAGCTGGTCGGGAATTCCCCTCATGCCCTCACATCTTTAGCTCTTAATGCTGCGTTGCAGCTCTTTTTTCTCATTGGCCAAAAACTAATCTCAGGTAGCCCTTAATGGGTCTTTTGTGTTGCAATTAGTACATTGTTTTGTGTGTTTTCAGCCAGTTAAACCATAAAGGAGCCATGATGATGACACTTAAGCAGCAATGAAGAAAACTAAGTTAGTTTGATACTTATAGATTAAGATTTTTCATTCATTTATGTTAGCAGGTGCTTGTTCTGTGTTTAAGCAGCAAAGTTTGCACTGAAGTGATGTGAACTTCTCTTTTGCTGCTTTGGAAAACTAGCCCTGCTTCAAAGATCATGTTGAGGAACAGGGAATTAAATTTTTAGCCAGTCTCCAGTCCCATGACAGGTTACAAAGAAGTCCATTCACCAGTCTGATCGCCTCCCTCATATCCAGTGTCATGGCTCTTCCTGCCCTGCCTCTGACAAAGCTTACATTAAGTATATCATGACTCAAATGATCATTTTTGGAGATTGGTTGTAGGTCAGGCGCACCTGCTTAAAAGTACACGATGGGCCCTTTCTCTGGAGTCTCCATGTGGACTGTAGGAGCAGCAGCTTTAACACATTTACAGAACCATGTTTATCTACTTGTTCTTTCCATAGATGAAAAGGGAAACACATCCTCCAATGGGTGTGTCCCTGCCAGCCTTTGCGAAACAGGTTTTATATTGCTCCTGGTATTATTACCTAATAGGAAGTACTAGGTGCAGTTGATATGTTACACTACTGATTTTCTGTGTCAACACTTCAGATCTATAAATGTCAGAACTGTAGCAGCAAATGTCTGGCCTACCAGGACGTGTCCTTGCTAACACCGGATAGACAACTGATTTCAGGTTATATTCTTTATTGAACAGTGTTTTAATTGGACGTCCGGTTTCTGTCTTAATAGGAAAAATGATATGTTTACATACTTTGCACTCTGACTGCTGTGGAAGTATATGTGCATGATAAATAGAAAGGATGACTCTGCAGTTTTTGTAATCCTCAGCTGTCACCAGTGTCCTCTCTGTGTGTGCTAACAGATCTGTGGCTAAAGGGCAGATTAGGGCTTCACCCGGCCGTGAAAACTCCCCTCAGCACCACAGTTATGACACGCACCCCCCCCTGCATGTACAGACCAGTGCGTTTCACTGAACACCTCCTCTGGGATCTGCTTTTCTTCCATTTTCGTTTTCTTTTCGAGAACATAAACACACTGATAAAAATCTGAGGCCCTTTCTCTGGAGTCCCTCGTGTATGTTCAGCTTCGGGTCAAGTACGACCCAAATTAGGCCCCTTCACTCAGCCCATGCTGAATGTGATTTGGTCCACCATTGTTTACTCAAGCCTGAATAGTGACATGTTTTGTTTTGTGTCTTTGTTTGTCATATCTTTATCTTAAAGAAGAAAATAGCATTGTCTGATTTGAGAATGGAGGCTGCTCCACCTATCCTCTGTATAATTGCATAAGTACATTAATTATGGTGCAGCCTGGGCTTTAAAACTTGAAGTTTGGTGCACAGTGAACAAAGATTGCTTTAATAATATATGACATATACACTCCCTACTGTATCCTCAGCCTGTCTGTCGAGTTTGGTCGTGTCTCTTCCCTCCCACAGTTTCCATTGAAATTACAAGGAAGCCCTGGTTTGTCTCTCCCCAGCGAGTGGCTGAACTGGACTAGGACCTAAGATAAATTACACCTGCCATCGTCCTTGCTGCAGTAAATCACACATTGTTCTTCTATCTCAGCTCTTTCTCACCCCTCTGCTCATCTCTCTCATGCTTTGTTGAAACATTTTGAGGTTTACAGACTACATTCGTGAGAAAAAAGAAGTTGAGGTTTTTCAAAACTTTTGTAATACGTTTACCCCCCCTCCCCCCGTGCAGGATCAGGTGCCTGAAAAGTGAGAGATCCAGAGCTGTCAAGGCCATGAAGAAACAACAGTGTGCGAGTCCTGAATTTCTTTTTGATGCAAGAGCGCATTCAGCAGGTTTCTTTGTCTGAGCTGATGACCAGCTGGTCCTCACATCCTGCCTGCCCCCCTCCCCCTCAATCTAGTGGGAGGGGTAAAGGGAGGTGTGGGTGAGTGTGTGTGAGAGAGAGAGTGAGTATGTTGTGGTGGTGCTGGTAGGGGGGGTCATTTTATTCCGGAGAAGGATTAACAGGGGGTAGAGGGAGGGGTGGGAGCTCTTGCACGTCCAATGGAGGAGTTGATCTGGGAGCTGAGCTCAACTGATCCTCAGTCCTCAGGGGCTCTGATGTTAGGGCCATCCATCCACCCATGAACACTGCAGTCTGGGCTGATATGTCGTGTCAGGTGGGAAGGCAGCAGCCTGAGAAGTGGTCACAGAGCAAACAGCCGGTTCCCTGGAGTTTTCTAAACAGTGTAGATGAATCTTCTGCTTTGCTTCACACAGTCTCCGACCTTCTGTTACTTTCAGTTGAAGAAATGATGCACTCTTCATGGACAATGCAGCAGTGTAACATGGATATGGACAGTGACCCAGTGTTTTTAATGTGATGCCCTGCTTCTTTTTTTACAGCACTGACCTCTTCCGCAGGTTCATTGTCCTTCAAATGCAGCTTCTTTGTCTCTAAAGTTAAATCCATGCTTAACCATTCACATCCAGAGTAGTACAGTTTTTTGGCGGTCAATGAGTAAAATATATACTATTAATATATTAGATGTTGTAATCAAACCAAGGACAAATACATTAGACTGATATTTTACAGGTCAACCAT